TTTTCCTGGACTGGGATAAACAGCATTAAACATGGAGCTGGAAAAATCAAACAGGCCAAAAGCATGCACCATTACACTCACATGGTGATCTTCACTGTATCCTTGGTGCTGTTGCTCCAGAAAGTGATCTCAATGCTGGTGACTATGTTTCTTTTCTTCTGCAAATGGAACTCAACCAGGCTGTGATGGACTGAGTAAGAGGCAAAGTTATGTGGGAGTGAGGGCTGGTATTGTGAGACCTACCCCTGCCAAGAGAAGTCTTCTAGCACTGGTTCCCTGGTCCCACCAGCAGTAAGAAACAAACTGACATAAAGTAGTCTCTGTGCTAGGAGAGGTGCAGTCCAGTATAAACAGGCATTTTCACCCCCCCCCCCCAGTCCTGAAGCCATGTGGCTGTGTAAATCCACTGGGAAGGGCTTTATAGGGGAGATGTGCGGGGTTAGGGCTCTTCAGCTGTGTGTCTCAGACCATCTGGGCCACAAGAGCTGATTCTCATGGGGATGGTAGGTTATAACTACCTGGATCTACCTCATTGGGTCAACACCCTTCTGACTAATGTTTGTTCTCATACTACTTACCACAGAATGGAGCTGAAGGACTGGTCATTAAATACACTTTTACTTCCTTGGGAAGCTTTGTCATGTTGACACCTGCCTGCTCCAGCAGACCTGCAGGAGGAGATAAACCCAGTGCAGGGAAAGCCATGAATGACCCAGAACAGAAACAGAGTTGTTCCCAGTTCTTCTCCATTCACTGTACCCAACTCCACTGTCTTGGGGACAGCCCCTGGTTTATACCAGTGCAAATCAGAGCAAGTGCAGGTTTGTAGTTTCTGCTTGGCAAGTTAATGTTCCCTCAAAAAGCTTATTCTGGCTACTCCAGGTAATCATCATCAGAATACCTTTTGGTGGTATTTCATTCCTCTGCTAATAGACTGTTATCAGTGTGCAAAATGAGGGAGACAAAAGACTACTGAGTCAGGAAACTCAGTGCAAATGTAAATGACAATGGGAAATTTAACTCATTGGTCAAGTGAGAAGACCACCATAACGTGAGGCCTGCACCACTGACTAGCTGACAATGTGGCTGGGTGACATGGGGAAGGAGTAGCTAATCTGAGAGCACCTATCCCAGAAGAGCTCTCTCCTTACATTCCTCTGGTATCAGACTGCAAATAGCACTAGAAGACACTTCCTCCCCTTGTGCCACAGCCCACTTTCAGAAGCCTAAAAGAGGTAACTATTACCTTCTCCAAGTCCAGGCAGTTTATCTGTGGGATGACCGTGGCACGGATCTATGGGAAGGCGGTGACACAGCAGCAGTGAGTGGTTTGTGGGAGAATGGGACTTCAGGCTTGGGCTAACATTTCCAGCTGCTTCTCTCAACAAGACTCTTTTTAATTGCCCACTTGTTTGGCAGGTGATTCTGGAAACTCGTTTTGTGAAATGAAAACTGTCATGATCAGAAGTTCAAGAGTTTGGTGTCCTCTCTTGGGCAATATATGAGCTTTTAGAGCTTCTCTATAGAAGCCTGAAACCGAAACAGTTTCTTACTATCCCCAAAGAGATTGAAGGCAAATCCTGCTCAGAGTAATCTGAACTGCGTACTGTGCTCTGCACTGGCACCCGTCAGGAATGTATCGTCATCTGCTCCAGGAAAGTCTCATGCTGGTACTGTACCTATTCTGGGACAGGAGAACAGGAAGGGGTCCACACAGTCCAGGCAATGACCATTTAAAAAATCTTGATGACTTGCACAAGGGAAAGCCACGAACGGACAGGAATCTTTCAAGGCACTGACATAGAGATGTACTGCCCTCATGTGATCACAGATCAGGTATTTATAGCCTGCAAGACAAAATGCACCCAGAGAACAGCAGCCATGAGCCTTCCTGTTGGCTTCAGCCTTTTTTGCCTGTTCCCAAGAAACACTCTTACTGATTCTGCAGCAATCCCCTTCCCGTTAATAACATTTTGCAGAGCATCTCTGTGACAAGCCCAGATCCCCACTGCAACAGAAGTTATGTAGGGAGTTAGAAGTGCATCTCCCAGGCTAACGGAGTCCCTGAGAAGAGGGGGACTGCTGGGCTGCCATGTCTCCATCAGCATGCCATCAATGAGGCCCCAGGTGCTCTGCAAGGGGGTACAATAGCTTTGGCTCCCACCTGCACTGGGACCCCAGCTATGGAAGTGAGATGTCCCCTGTAACTTGGCCCCCATGCAGAACATGGTTGAATATTTATCCACTCTATTTACTGTGTAAAGTCCCGTTCTCAAAGGGCTGTAATCATGCAAGCTTTCTAAGTACAGACACAGCTTACAGCATGAACTACAAAAAGAACCTTTTGCCAGTAGTACCTAAGAGCCTTTCTAGTGAAAATGCTTTCTTTGTTGGTACAAACTCTACTGGCTCTAGGGTTTTGGCTCCTACAGAAGTGCCACTAAAATCACATCTCTCTCTTGACCACAGAGTTGCCAAGACACTTGACCTGTATGTGGTTTTGTGATGGGGGGTGTTTGCTCATCAAAGTGAGTTTTAATTTCAGCTGCTTAATGTACTGCTGAGAGGAGATGTGGGCTATGAATCCCACCACCATATATCTTTACAAATACATGTTGTATCACTTTGATGTCTGCCCAGACTGCAGCAGGAGCCAAACATCATTTTCACAGGCTGCTAAATGGTCATGAAAGCCACAGTGTTCTCACCTGCAGAGGGGAATCGGGGGCATCCTGGCTGGTCTTTGCCTCCATTGACGAAGTAATCGATGTGGCCAACAGGGATCCGGATCCCAAAATCTGGAAGGAGGCGAAATGCTACTTCATTCCTACACTTGGTTTTCTGTAGGTTTTACCCTGTACGGTGTATGACAGGCCTCAGTAACTGGTTGATTAGTAATGCTGGACCCAGCTCCAGTGCTGGAGACAGCAAGGACAGATTCCCTGTTCCTACACACCTGAATGCTCCGTCCCTGGCGGTGTTGAAGGCCAGGCTGGACAGAGCCTTGGCTGACATGGTTTAGTGTGAGGTGTCCCTGCCCATGGCAGGGGGTTGGAATGAGATGATCTTAAGGTCCTTTCCAACTCAAACCATTCTATGATTCTATGATTGTGCAGGTTTGCTGCATGAAGCAGGAAGTGCCCCAGGCCCTGCCATCAAAATGACTGGGAACTGCAGCTTAATCACCACCTCTGTGACTCAGGTTCTTGATCCTGTGTAAAGGAGAACAAAACTGACCACAACCTTCATGTGGCAATGGTTGAGAGTTACGTTGGTAGAGGTTTTCATGATCTACAGGCAAGAGGTGTGTCTCAAGGGCAGGGTGTTATTCTTCAGCCCATATTCTGCCTACATAGACCCCAAGTGCTTTAGAATACTCTATTGTTGAAGGAGCCATCAGTTTAACTCTTGTTACTTTCCCTCGGGGCTAGCAGTGGCACCTTTCTTACATTAGGTGGGAAAAAGCAAAGTGAGACTAGTATTTAAATTCCTTGCATATGGCAAAAGCCATGCTGAGCTGATTCTGCATAAACTCACTTCGCTGAGTGACAAAACCTCGCTGAAGGATTGCCCTCTGTTTAATCTCCACCTAGCTGTAGCTTGAAGTGCTCTGTGGTATGGATACGTGCCAATGAATTAATCATTAAAGCCTATCTCACCAAGAAACTTCCTCAGAGTGAGCCTGAATTTCTGCTAATCTGGCAAAAAAAAAAGGGACAATGACATAGAGGCCCCTCAGGAATAACGATGGCAGGATGAACAGAAGCATGGGCCAAAGCAGATGGAAGACAGCTTACTGTCAGCATCAGTATGAATGGCTTCCACAAAGAGGGCATCCCCAGGATCCAGGCGTTCCTCAGGACTGGCTTTGGTGTACTTAGGGCCTGCAGGATCCAGGCCTGTAATAAAATCAAACACCTCAACAAGCAGTGCTCTTCAGCCTCTCTTTCTTGTTTCTGGGCCAGTTATTTCATCAAAACTTTTAAACTGTTGCTAGGCAGAAGTGATGAATTATTCCCAGGTTGCATTGATTGTGCTCCAGAATGGTTTCTGCCCCCCCTAACTTCCACTACAGCTTCCTTACCTTGTCCTCCACTGTTCCACTCCCCCTTAGTAGTTTTGTACCTCAAATTTCTAGCCTATAAAGCCATGACTGAACTTCAAATAGCTCTGACAGAGTGGGTACAGAGTGTCTTGGCTTTTCAGTGAAAGAGGATAAACCTCATAACACCTTCCCTAACTGTACTATAATTTGTATTAACACTACAGCCTGAGAAATGTCACTGAAGATCATCAGTTGGGTGATGAATGTGGCATCCCAGGTATTAACTAACCCATGCATTACAAAGCTTTATTATCAAACATCCTTAAAACAGAGGCTTCTGAGGTCTCTCCCACAAATAGAGTCCTTAGGCATCTACATTTTTGCCCAAAACTTGCTCCTGGAGCAACCTCCGGGGAGTCAGAGGAATACAGAGGAAATTATCCCTGGTTAAAGAGATTTCTTTGTTTGCTTCTGGCTGAGGTTTATTCTGTTCACTTTTCATAGGAAAGTAATCTCACAAGATGCTTTACACCCCAGGTAACATCAATAGTTTAAGAAACAGCTCTGCTTCACATGCCAGTTTCCAGATGGCCAAGTTTCACTGCCTTGGACTCAGTCCCATAAATTCCCTATGGAGAAGGCAATATCAACAATGTACAAGCTGACATGTCTGCGTTTGTGAGAGGGTTTCCTTCTTGGTGACATTTTCCCTCCTGTCAAAATGAATCTCCATCCCTGGGAATTCCCAGAACTTGGCAAGACCATCAACAACCTGATCTAACTGAGAAGGCAGCCCTGGTTTGTGCTTTTTTAGGGGTGGTGGGAGGTTGTCTAGAAATCTTCTATGGGCCCTTCTCACCTAAATCACTCTGTGGCTCTATTCACACTCTATACCAAACAGCTGAGTTGAACCAAAAAGCTCTAAATAACATGATCAGGCTCTAACCATCTTTCTCTGTGATTTGCCCACAGCAACCTCTTCCCCACACCCAGGAGACTGGCTCTCTTTGTTTAATGTCAGCTCTGATTTGGTACAGCTGGGTGGCCTTAGCTCAGTCTACTGTGAAAACTGCTGATCTGTGGGAGAGAGCAGCAAGAAGCTTTATCTGGGGCTTCCCAACACTGGCTCAGGTTCTTGCCTTTGGTCCTTGCCAGAGCTGTGTTCTAGGGATGCCATGCCCAGCCTGGTGTCCTGCTTTTATCGTGGAAGGACTTCTTGGCTGAACTTGGGCTTGCCTCATCACTACAAGTTTGCCTGGTGATCACTCAGCTGTGGATGACCCTGGTTCCTGTCCCTGGACCTGCTCTGCTCTTCTTGCCCAGGTATGGTAGGACTGTGCCACTTGTCACTGAGGCCACTGCCCTTGCCCACCTGTGGTTGTCCCCTTGGCTCTGAACTCACATTTTTCCTGCAGAGCAGCTGACCCTTGCTGCTCCACACAATGACATGCACTGTGGGATTTAGCTTTAAGAGCCACACAGGTATAAAGGGGAAACAAAGGATATGGGTGCTGTGGGTTTTCATTACTCATGAGGCCTTGTATTCTTTTTATGCTGGCAACCAATTTGAAGAGCAAAGCAGGGGTGGAAGGGCTCTTTTGCAAATACATGAATTCCTTTGGCAGCGTGGAGGGGACTGATGGCTGGAAAGGGATTGTTAGGCTCTTCTGAAGCTAGGAAGAAGCCCGTAAACTTGGAACTAATGAGCCCTTATGCAATTAAAAGACCACTATGGATGATTCCCCTTCCTTGGTCTTTCATTCTCTCCCTTGATGAGCAGACAAGAACCCAAAGCTCAGTTTTATGATACCTGTTATGCGTCCCAGCTGACCGCCATGGAAGTGCCCCACCAGGCCCCCGACATGCGCCCCAAGGCTTACCCCAATGATGTGGATGGACGTTCCTGAGACTCCCAGGGCCTGCAGATGGATGATAATTCAAATTAATGTTTCTGTAGCTGAAAGGTGAAATATCCTGTCTCAGTCCATACAGCAGCTCTGTAGCTCTTCTAACATAGGATTGCCTTTGAGGTGTATGGTAGAGAGCCAAACACCTGTGGGAATGATGGGTATTGTCCTTTCTGTTTTTCAGCCTTTATTCAGGTCCATAGATGCAAACCCAACCCTAACCAAGTTGGTCAGGTCAGATGTTCCTGTTTATAACTACATGGCCTGTAGCTTCTCTTTCCACAGCTTGTTTCAGGCTGAATTTTCCTCTCTCAGCTGAGTGATCCATGTTCACCATGGGAATAATCTTAGTAAAGCTAAGAAAATGTTGTGACTTTTATACCACCATTGTGCCAATATACTGATCAGTACTTTCAGATTATATTTGCAGAGATTAAGGATTTATCTATGAGCTGAACTGCCAAGTGAAGCACAGCCATTTAGATCTGGTGTGAGATGACTCCATCCACAGGAATTCAGCTTGCCAGCAGGCTGGCCTGCATGACGCAGCACCATGCAGTGGGAGAGCATATGGTGCATGACAGCATGAGGGAAAGATGAAAAACACTGACTTGTAAATGAGGCCATACCCTTGAGCAGTTATGAGACTTACGAGAGGAGAATACAGCCTTCTGTGATGTAGCGTTGCAGGAGAGGCTGGACTGAAAAAGTCCTCAAGTAACTAGACTACAGCTCAGCACAGGTATGGAATGAGAAGAGAGGACATTGTCCAGCTTAGCCATTTGTTCTCTCTGTGACCTAATCGGCAATGAGGTGTGATAGTCCTCTCCACCTCCACCCCATCCCCATCCTTCTGATGACACAGTGGATCCAAGGGTAGCCGTACAGCAATAGGTTAGAAATGTGTGACTGTGCACAGCAAGGTGTGCAGATACCCAGGAACTCCTACGCTGGGCAGCCTGGGTCTGCAGTGCAAACATTACACAGGGAGTTTATGCATAGCTGGTTAGCACAAAGATTTACCACGTTCACTGTGTAAGGGGTGTTCAGCTGTTCCATGCACAAACTAACTGTGACACATCTGGGGCTTTCCAGCTACTGGGAAGTATATCTGAAGCCCAAAGCAAATATAAAATGACAACAGGGGTGTGTTTTCAGAAAATGTCAAAACTCAAGAGAAAGATGGAAACCAGTGGCATGCTCAAGTCTGCACTGAGATGGGGGGGAAGAAATCTCTTTAGAGTTACACAGTCCTCCATCTGGAATGAAGTTCTTGGAGACAGCAGGTTGGGAGCAGCTCTCTGAATCTTTTGCATGAATGATGTTCTTTGGCCATGCTCCCCATAACACTGGAAATGCACAGTAGCTTACCAGGAGCTTGCTGATGAATTGTGAGATGGAGAGGGCCAGCTCTGTGACATTTTCCACTGCAGAGGGATAGGCTCCTGTAGACCCATAAACCCAGTCTACTGCAATCACGTTCACCGGGCTTGTGTTCAGTATGGCATGGACAAGCCCTTCAATCCAGGAAGGTTTAGTACCCAAAGCCCTGTGGAGTCATCAGAAACAAGTACATTAGGTGCCTTTCAAAGTAGGGCGTATGTTGTTTGCTGGTGCTGGGGCTTAGAGGAGGCTGCCAGACAGTTACTGAAAGCTTTTTCTGGGTCCCCACACCAATAGCTGGCATCTGCAGTGGTGTAGTAACACCTTCCAGAACACACTGATTCAGAAGGGAACCAGATGCTTTAATGAACGAGGTAACATTTGCAGGGCTCAGGCTGAGACCTCAGTCTTGTTGTGGTGCCACCATAGAGCCCACCTCAAGTACATAAGCTGACCAGGAACATTTGGATCCTTCTCTGCTACCAACTGGCAGGAAATCCTTGGCCAGATCACCTTGTCTTTCACTGCTATATTTCCTCACCTGTATGCAAGTAAAAAAAACCCCAAACCCAATAAAATCTACGCACAAGTATTCAAAGAAAACAGAGGGGACTATGTTCTACCCGCTTCCCTTGTTACCACCTGGTGAGAGGCATGCTATGTCACATGAGGGCAAAAGCTGGTTTTCTGAAAAGACCCTGTAACATCTTCTGTGCTTTCATCCTGGTCTTCTATGCACTTTCTAGTCAGGCTTTTGCACATCAAAATAGTGTTATATGGTCACACCTGGCTGAAAAATTGGAAAGTAAAATAAGCTTGCAGAATGGTGACAGCTTAAAACAACCCAGCTCAAATCCCTGCCCTTTCAAGAATGGTTAATGTGTCTAGCAGGGCTCCTAAATGGCTGACTAAGCCAGGCTGTTGATAAGTAAGGACATGAGCTCCAAGAAGACAATTTTAAGGGGCAACAATCTTGAAAAAAAGACTTCTTAAATAAAAAGGTTGAAAGACAGAAAAGGGAAGAGATAAATAAGGAGAAAGAGAGAACCTGCAGGAAAGTTAAGGGAATGAGATACAGAAATAAAGAGACTTCAATTTCCAAACTCTTTTTAGGCTCCAAAAAATGTGAAACACACACAAAAAAGGTAGCCTGCCACAAACTAAAGGACTTCAAATTGCATTGTAATGAGGGTTGTTGGCACCAATTTCCATGCCCCTGCCCTGGCCCACCAACAGTCCCCAAGTCCAGTTTTGGGCAATGCACTCCAGACTCTATCTTTAGGTGTTTTGCATGCTGCCACTCTGCTGAGAGACTAAGAAAGTCACAGGAGCAGGAAGTTTCCCTACTGGCCGCACCCAGCACTTTGGAATGCCCCAGCAGCATTTAATGAGTGAAAGCTCAGTCATGGTGCTCTTCTTTCTCTCACCTGAAGCCATGGATGATAATCTTGGTGTCCAAGCTGCGGTTGAAGCTGCAGTTCTTGATGCCATCACCAGGTAAAATCAGCTCCCCACAGCTGGGGTTAGAGGAGGTGAACAGAAGAAATTGGACCTTAAGTTTACTGCCCCGAAGGAAATTGGCTGTCTGGAAGTCAGTACAGTGATGCCCTGAGAGTTTGTCTGTATTCCCTACAATAAAAGGCAGTGAACAGCATATTCAGTCTGCATCTCTGTAATGGGAAAAATAAAAGCTTGTTATAATCCATTAGGAAAAAGAAAGTAGCATTCTCCCTTCTATTGATAAAAAGGATAGAATATAAATTATATAGTCTATTCTGAAATATATATATTCTATCTATACAGCCTATTCTGGAAACTTAGTCTGACCAAGTTGTTTCTGTCTTTCAATGGAATTCCAGCACTGCCTGGGGAAGATAACTGTGGATGTCATGGTAGCTTTGACTTGAAAGTGGTTTTACTGAGATGTGGATGACATTCTGTTGGTTTTGGTTGGGTTTGTTTTTCAAATCAGACACACACACCAGCTACTACATACATTTATGAGCTGGCTACTAGATCTTTGAAAACAAAATGGTTGCTAACAGATAGTCCCCACTGAATGGGGCTATTTGTATTCAAATATTGGCAGGCTTAGTAATGGGGTGAAGTTTATTGACCTGCAATGTGCAGGAAGCTAAATAATTAAATGATCCCTTCTGACCTAAAAAGTGTTATTGGATGAAGTGTCATATTTACATCCTCCTGCAATGACAATGCAGCCACTTTCCCTTTTCTGGACTGGAAGAAGCAAAACAGCCTTGAATCTGCATGTACAATGATATAATAGATAAATAATCAGACAACCATGTTCTTAACTGCTGGCTGTTCCTATAGAAGATACTTTACACTAGCTAAGGCAGAACATGGCCTAAGGGTCAGCACAGTCTCAAAGGAATGAGATGCAATATTCAGATTCCCTTTTGTGGGAAGTGACAATCCCTTGCTGTGGTTTATTTTGGCCTTTCTGTGTACTGAAGGCAAGAGAGAAAGACGTTCTCTGAGATCAATTTGGAGAAAAGGCAGCTCCTGAGCCAGCTTAACAAGGAAGGGCGGGTTCAGTGCAAGCACTGTGTGGTCAGAAATGGTGTAAAATGAGAGGGATCGTGAGTAAAGATACGGCACACTGTGAAGCAGTGTGATGCAGGAGATGTGGAGCTGCAGTGATGACAGCAGAGTTATTGCCAGCACAACTGAAGAAAGATATAGAAGCATGGTGCCTGTTTATTTTCTCTCAGCTACTGCAGATTACACTTGCTACACTTGCTTTCAAAGCATGAGATGCCAAGTGCCAGAAGTCAAGTAGTCTCTTTTTCGTTTCCTTACGCTTCAGGGTTAATCCGGATCATTCTTCTACATCAGGTCAGTGGAATTCAATCACTGAGACTGAATCAAAGCATGGGAAAGTACCATTCTTGCACCACCCTTTCTCCTGGCACCTAACTCGATTATAGCAAGGATCTTTTGACACACAGGTTGCCTGGGGAGACTTGAATTCAAACCCTTCTGCATAAAACCTTCAATCCCTTCGCCAGGCACTCCTGTTTTACTTACCTGCTTGTGCTGAGTTGAGCAGCAAGAGGACAGCAAGAACAGTGAGTGGCTTTCTCTTTGGATCCTCAACTGTCTTTCTGTTAGTCCACTCCAAGTAGCAGGCAAAAACAGCCATCATGGATTGCTTGATCATGTTCACTGCGTTAATGATCAACCAGCCTGTGGGTTTTGGGGGAAAAAGGGTAGGGGCAATTACCTCTGCTCTTACTTGGCCATTTGCCATAGTCTGTGTCAACAGAAACAGATGAAAACCATGCTGACGCTTCTTTCCTCCCTACCTCCATTTCTTCAAGGCAAGCTTCCCATTTCAGAGATCAGCTAGTGAAACCAGCCCCACCAGGTGACAGAGTTACAGGGCTTTATCCTTGCCACCTAGACCTGCCTGCTAAATTCTGACTGGGGACACTGATTTGTCCAAGACTTCACAGTAAGTCCGTGCTGGGAAGATTCGTATCAGTTTCACATCTATGTACTTTCCTACTGCATTGTCGTGTCTTTCCTGTATTTCTAACTTTAGCAGTAACTCCTAAAAGACCACAAAGCAATACATTACTTCTGAAAAGTGAGGGGAAAGACAGGCTAAAATGTAACTGGTGGCCACAACACCATAATACACTCAGATTGTACATTTCTTAAAGCGGGGGCACTCTTCACTTTTCCTTTGGAGACTGCATTTTCAGATACTACAGGAAATAAAAGCATGATCTTAGTAATGCACCAGTTTCATAAGCATGCAACTTCAAACAGATCTCAGAATAAAAAACTTTACTTTGGTGTAAACAGATGGAGAAGCACAAGTGAAGAACCAAATATGTAACCAGGAGTCAGCCACACGACATTTGTAAGGTGGTGGTACCACCTCCCTGGCTGCATTAAAACTGTCTGGTAAGAGCATGCCTGTTTCCTAAGTCTCATTGGTGTGTGCTGGTCCTTCCTGCAGAAGACCAGGGAAGATTTGCCCTTGGCTGTTTTAAATGTCAAGAACATCAGGCACTGGAACAGGCTGCCTGGGCACTGGTGGAATCACCATCCCTGGAAGTGTTCAAAAATCATGTAGATGTCCTCAGTGACATGGGTTAGTGGTGGACTTGGCAGTCCTGGGGAATGGTTGGACTTGATGATCTTAAAGGTATTTTCCAACCTTCTGCGATTCTGTGACTGAAGGAGCAGTAACCTGTCCAGGCACTATTCTACAGCTGCTTTATTTGAACAATAAAATGAAGAAATTGGTTCAAGTCTGATCAGAAAGATGACCAAAGATCTTTCCAGAAGCATCAAACATTATCTTCCTTTGCAATTATTTGCAATGGCAGTCATTTCCTTGCCCTCGTTTTCTCCAGCCAGAGGCTTTGGGTCTGGTTTAGGCAGAAGAGCTTTTTTATTTCCAAGTCACTCCTGAGAGAAACTTGTCCAGTTCTCACAGGGAATTTAGACAGCATCATCTGCCTGGCCTGGAGGGCTACTAAATCCCTGCTCCACCTGCATCATCCTAGAGACACATATACAGATACATTCTGATCCTGAAATACCTGGCTCCATAATCAAGCTGGTTTATTGTCAGAGAAGCAGGTTCTTAGTGTCTCTTCAAATATGCAATCAAGTTTGTCAGCACAGTCAGTTCTCCAAGAATGACAGCTGCAATACAAATAGCCAAATCCTGGTTTCCAGCCTGCTCTTCATCTTTCCAATCCCAGCACTAGATTCAAGATGACTCACAAACTGCAAGATAAAAGCCCATAGACTACAATGGGCCCACTCCTTCATTACACTCACAAATTCCAGTGGTCTGGATAATCCCTCAGTCGAGAAAGAAGGAAATAAGCTTGTGAAATACCAATAGACAGTGATATGATACAAGGCTTCAGGGCAACAGGATAATTGTGTAAATTACTAGTTTCTTAAGGTAAAACAAATTGGAGCACCTAAAGAAAACCAGAAAACATTGTTTTCCATTTTTTTTTATTGAGAATTCTGACGATAAGCCCCATTCTGCGTAGCAGGGATTTGATGATTACTCTTTGCCAAGTTCTATGGACATTTTGAAACCCCATGTAATATAAGGCAGGTACCAGGTATCACAGCTTAGAGAAGAACAAATCTGCCACCAAGATGTCCGCATCTGATTTATACACATAGCATCCACACTGCTATGCGTATGCGTAGAGTTTTCAACAACATCCTGGAACACTAAAAAAAACCAACCCAAAATGAAACAACCACCCCCCAACACTTTCATGACATTGAATATTCTGTTTCCTGTGCAGTTTTGTGTTGTGTTTTCCATTTGGGTTTTCTTTTTCTTCTGTAATCTCAGGTTTAGTAATTCCAAGAAATTCTGTATTGCATCAGCACGCTGTGGTGGCTCCTCATGCAAACAGCAAAAGCCACTGGCTTCCTCTGTGCTGAAGATGCTCTTGCCTCCAAAAACTATTTTGGTAAGAAGGGTTTCTTTTTATTTGTGAACTTATTTACTCAGTAACTACAGTTATATGCGTTCAGAAATTTAACCTTGGTGTCACTCATGTTACCCCCCTATGGGACTGATGATAATGGCAGTGCTGCAAAGGCACTGCGTCTGATTTCTTCCACCAGCTCCTCACAGCGTGATTCACTTGTGAATGAGTCTGGGATAGTGAAAGCAAACAAACCCCGTTTTAGACCTATTTTTTTTCATGAAAAACATTGAAAATAAATTGCACTGTCTGCACATTCAAGCAAACGCTGAAAGTGCCCAACACAGCCGGGAATGTCATCCTCCCACCCACAAAGCTGGCAGAGGCATACAAGCACTGCAAGCGCCCAGTAGTCAAGTGGATATCTGATCACAGGAAAATTCACTTATCCTGGATAAACGTTCACTGATACCAGAAACAGTGCCATCAGGGTGGCAGCATTGGGACCTTGGAGGAAACCAACTGTGAATTATGCAAATGGTGACTATTTAAAACTACTTTCTGTGGTCACTGCATACAAGGGAGGGCATGAAATAGCAGAGCTTGTCTCACTGTACATTAAGGCCTGGATCCATTCTGCTGCCAGAACAGTTGGTATCACAGCTCTGGTAACTCTTGTCCTTTGCCTATGGAGTAGAAACCATGGATTAGCAGCATGGAGGCTCCAGCATATTGTTTCCAGAACTGACAGAGGAACAGGGTTTAGCTCTCATGTCAACAAAAAGCCATTCAATCTCCTGACTTTCAGAAGAGTGTCCTAACTATGAGATAGTAGGAAGAAAGCATTAAAAATTGACTCAGCAACTGAGGAAGGGAAGATGTGGGCAAGGCTCATTGGGTACTCAGAAAGGAAAGGAGGAAAACCTGTCACTTGCTCAAGTCTTTAATGAGTACTTTAGGGGCATGCTACCTAGTATTGACTATATAAATGTGCACATGAGGGAAGAACGTATCATTGCCATTGTATCCTTATGGTTCCCAAAACCAGAGCAGCCTAGGTGAGGGCACCAGCTACCAGGCTCAAGTTTCTCTCTTGCTTCATTCACTTTCTTTGCCCTGTGAAGCTCTTGTCACGCTCTACAATGTGGCAGTTCTTCAGTAGGAAGAACTTAGTCCTGCTTTGGATGCATGTGGGTGAGCTCCTGTGGTTCCTTCCACTCTAAAATAATCTAAGTGAAAGTATCAGTCTCTACTGGAGTTTTCTCTCTGCTAACCCCAAAGATCTCATAAGCTACAGGAAAGTTGACCTGTGCAAGGTGGGAAGTGGCATCCTCCCAGCAACCAGCTCCAATCTGGTCTCTCTCAGCCAAGACATAAAACTACGGTGAGAGCCTCCCCGCCCTGTACTAGTGCTGTGCTGGTGTTCCCTGGGGCAGGCAGCTGAGCATGAACTGCATGCTTTGAGGCTGTAAGATGGACCTGCTAGCAGCTGGGATCTTCTCATCCAGGATAACGCACTGTGCCTTGAGACCAGCCTTCAGAAGGGGATACTGCTGGGGTGTCCCTCGAAGTGAACAGCAGGCTTTTGTGGACCATCGGTGTCAAATGCCAGGCTGCAGGGAGTACTAGGTTTGGATGGCCAGCGTTTTCTGAGGCTGCGAGCTGCACATTACCTGCTGAAGTTTGTTATCCCCTTAACCCCTGTGGCTCCCAAACCCGCCTGGATGCGTTCCTGCGCAACCTGCTCTAGGTGTCCCTGCCTGGGCAGGGGGGTTGGACCAGATGCTCTCCAGAGGTCCCTTCCAACCCGAATGATTCTTTGTGATTTCATGTCAGCTTTCCAGCCAGCAGAGCTGATGCTCCCCCTGTTGTACGGCGGCACAACTTGTACCGCCCGCGTTCGCTGCAGTTGCACCCCACGAAGCAGAGCCCCCCCCCTTCGCAGCATCACCTCCCCCCCACCTCCTCTCTGCCAGCCCCAACCCACCAAGACACCGGCACGGTTCGCAACGTGTGTGAAACCCCCTTTGCTGACCTTAGCCCGGCGGCTCCACAGGCGGACCCAGCTCCTGGGGCGAGTCGCCTACCGAAGAGGGAGGGAGAGGAAGAGGGGAGCAGAGAGTGCAAGAGGGAGATGGAGATGAAGAGGGGGAGAGAGGAGGAGGAAGAAGAGGGAGGGAATAGGGAGAGAAGGAGAAAGGGAGATGAAGATGGGGAGAGGGGAGGAGGAAGAAAGAGGGAGGGGATAGGGAGAGAAGGGGGCGTGGCGAGGCGGTCTTACTGTTCTCGCCCCTTCTCCGGTAGGTATTTATGCGGTGCTTGGGAGGGTGAGCGGTACTTGTGAGAGAGGCGGCGAGGGAGAGGAGGGCGAGCAGCGCTCGTGAGCGAGGTGGCGGAGGAGAGGAGAACAGAACGAGAACCGGGCGGCGCGGTCAGACCAGGACATGCCAGACCATGCGGGCGGCGGCGCCGCTGCTGGTGCGGCTTCTGGTCTTCCTGGACTTCCTAGGTAAGTCTTGCCGGGGCCGCCGTGGCGGACCCTTCCTGAGCGCTCCGCGTTTTCTCTGCCCTCCTTCCCTACCGCCCGGCTCCCCTCACCGGGGTCGGGGCGGGCAGCGAGTGTTAGCGGCAGCCCTGCGGAGGAGCTCTGCGCCCGTTACCGCCCTTCCCTCCCGGAGCGACGGCTTAGAAAGTTGCGGTGGGCTCCGGCGTTGAGGAGCCCGTGGGGAGCGCGGCGGCGGAGGGTGCTTCCTCCCTTCCAGTCCGTGTGAATGGAGGTGCTGGGCAGAGCCACTTCTTCTGGCGTGTGCTGGAATTGCGTAATGAAGCAATGAAGCTCCTCTACTGCGAGGAGGGCTGGGAGCTGGGCTTGTTCAGCGTGGGGACGAGAAGGCTCCGGTGAGTCATTAGGGCAGCTCCCAGCGCCTTTTTGATGGATGGGGAAAACTCTGGACTTCTCAGAAATTCGTGTTGCCTGTAGAACGTGGTTAGTTCAGTAGGTTGTTAATAGAAACGCTAAACGTAGTTTTAAACGGTATGCATTGAAAGATCAGTCATCAGCTGCCTAAAGTTGACACTGATTGTGTTGTCCTGTTACCTTACTCTTGAATCTTCTTGAATAAACAGGAAGTCCTGAATTTCATAGAATCACAGAATGGTTTGGGTTGGAAAGAACCTTAAGGCTCGTCTAGTTCCAACCCCCATGCCGTGGGTAGGGGCACTGTCCACTTGACCGGGGTGCTCCAAGCCCTGTCCAATTCCTCACAAAAGGAAAAAGGAATCCTCTCCTGCCTGCTTAAAAGCTCTTGATAAATCTTTGTCTCTGGATCTGTGGCTGTGATACCATATTAGTGCCAAAAAGAAACAAATGGGTGGTTGTTTTTTTTCCATTGACATTTAATGCTACAGGATGGATGCAGAGTGAAAAATGTTATTTGAGAGTTTCTTAGCTTAATGTGATTAATGGTCTTAGTCCTTGGAAAGCCAGGATCATCTCTGGATTGATGCACAGGCTCCTTGGGTCCTGAGAGTTGACAAGTGTGGTTAAAGGTGTTTGTCCAGCAGAGAGGTTAACTGCTGTGAAATGAAGTAGAAAAGAGATGGGGAAATCCCTGGGAAATTTAGGAAGCATACAATGACACTTGCTTTCTTTAGAAGCTGAAACAGTGCTGGAGACCTTATACATCATTTCCTTGAAGAAAAGGAAGCTGTCAGTATTGAGTGGGAGGTTTGTTCAGACTGTCACTAATGCAGCATAGCAGGGAAGCGAGGGAGTGATCCCTGGTTTTAAAGGGGAGGAGATGATGTTGATCCTGTCTTACTCCTGGGAGCTCTGAGTGTCGTTGGCCAGGAACTCTTCAGCTCCTTGCTGCCATGCCATTTTTTCCACCAGCCAACAAAACAAGAGTGTACTGAAGAGGACAGTGATCCCCCATCCCAAGCAGCAGCTGTGGACGGAAAATGTGTTTTCTTTCCAGCTCTGCTTTCTTCCAGTCTCATTTCTGGGCTTGAAGAAGAAACAACCTTGCTCTTGTAACTCCAGCCTAACTTTTGTGCCTAACTTCCGAGAGCAAAGATACAGAGAGTTTACATGCATCAATACCCAGGCTTAGGAAGTTATTAGTGGTGGGCTGAGCAGTGGTGGCTCTCCTTGCTTATATTTTTGGTGTCTGGAAAATGGCTGCTTTCTTCCCAGAAGGGAATTGCATTACCTTGCTCGTGCCAACAGCCACTGTGGCTTGATACATTAAGCCACCTAAGTTTGGCTGTGGGTCTGAGAGATAAAGTTAATGAGAGGCAGAGTTTCGCAGCTAGTAGAGGAGGGAGGTTTTCTCCATGCTAGGAACACCGTAGGTCCCTAGGCAGTAAGAGAGAACTTCTTGAAGACACACTCCTAAGCATTGCCTTTATGAAACAAATATCTAACAAGACCCCTAGCTTCATCCCATCAAAGCAGTGTTTCATTTGCACAGCATCCTGCTGCCTTGTGGTCTCCAAAGACAATGTTTGGAGATCCTGGGTTCTGTGCTTTTCTGGAAATTGCTAATTGAGATGAGTGGAAAGAGATGCTCATATTGGAACAGCAGGAGCAAGTGGAATGTTTAAATCTATCTCAGCAGGAGAGAAGACAAGGGCAGCAGGGTTGTCATGAAAAGGTGTGGGAGTGGTAGCTGAGCCCTCTCTTCTCTTTACTTCTCCAGTTCCTGTGCCTGGAAAAGGCTACTGTGTAAGTGCAGACAACAAAAGTAGAAACTGTAATGGCATGAGAACAGTACTCACTGCAAACAGATTGGATGGTCCATAAGAAGGCCTGGATGAGACCTTCTGTGCGTGGAGTTCTCTACCTGAGCACACTTGTCTGCTGAGACACTTGTCTTCATTGTCTGTCTGAGAAAGTTTCTGTGGTGTGGCATCAGGCCAAAGAGCAGAATGCTCTAGTGTGCTGTCAAGCATTGTTCCTTGCCTGTGGGAAACCTAATCTTAATTACTGGCCATGCTGACCTCCTGACTGCTTTACTATGGAAAGGAGATAGGGTGTGGAGTGAGATGGGCTATGGTTTGTTTTCTGGACTCATACACAGTGAAGTGACTTGTTCTGGTGTGATAAAGCTGTAGTATCCACAATGATTTTATGAACAGTAGTTTTCATATGAGGATGGCATGAAAAGGGAGGGAAGCACAGAATGATACAGGAATTGATGAGTTCTTGACTTAATGCCATTTAGGAATAAACCTCCCCCAAAACCACAGAAGTAAACCCAAAATAGTAGCTATCACATGGGAGCAATCATCTTGAAGCTCATGAAATACTTCTTTTTCACCGTGTGCAGTTACTGTATTTATACTCGTGCCCTTCCTTCAACTTACTAGTGGAGTAGAATCAAGTCCTTATTGCAAGTGTAGTTTGAACTCAGTATTGCTATGTTTTTATCAGTGTCCACATACATGTCTGCCACGGCAGTAGTCTTGCGATTTTCTTTTCTGTTAGAGCCATTCAGAAGTAGGAGAAGTAGGAAGTGATTGCTGAAGACCGGACCAGGGACACAGAGGTGCTAATGGCTTACAGTATCCCTTCCCCACAGCAGAATGTCATAACATCTGTTAGATGAGTTGGTTTTTTTAGCACATGTAGCTGTCCTTAATAAAACAAGGAAAAATCTCCTACTGTTCTTCTTTTCTCTTGTTGTGTGTTTGTCTGTATTGAATGTCTAGGTCTTTTGAGCAGAGTACAATTGATTCAACACTCATGGCAGTAAGGGTTTCTGGACAGCCCCCTTATCTTGCTTGGGAAGTTATTTAACATGAACTTGATGAAGTGAGGTTTCCAAGGGAAGTCCCTAGGATCCCCCTGAGTTCAGAGCAGCAACTTTGTATCGGAAGTGTGCTTTTTACTAACTCTGTGGATACTCATGCTGGAAAAATTGCAGTTTATTTGCTCAGCAGGATCTTCTGTTTGGGCATTCTGCAACAGGATGCTGAGACAGATTTTGCTGGTGATGACAGCTCTTCATCTTTTTCATCAGACCATAGGCAGGAGGCCTAATTCAAGTGAATAAGGGAAAGTACCAAGGATAGAGGAGCTTAGGATAGGGAAGAAGATTTGGACAGTGATTCTACCTGGGACCGTTATGTGGAAACTGCATCCCGTTGTGGGGCCTGTCACACAGTCTTGCAGAAAGGCCAGGTTTGAGTAATACTTAACTGATGCATGCCTTATTTATCAACATTGTGATGTGCTTCTAACCTAAATTTGAATGTATCTGGTAGTGCATAGAGTATTAGTCAAGCAATAGTGTATAAAACAATTGTTGAAGTAAATTTTTTCTCTTTTTTTCTTTTTTTCCCTGTAGCAGGCATCTGCTGCCAGGACCTGTTTGGCATTTTACTTTTCCAGTGAATATAGAAAAAACCCCGGAGGAAATAATTTGGACGAAAAACAAGGATAAAGTGGCTGAATGGGAAGGACAAAACACAACGTATTTTCTTTCTTTCCGTAACAGAAGCTTACTTAATGAGGAGAATGGCTGCTTGACTATATTTAACTTGCAGAACAGTGATGCTGGCTTATACGTATTGGAGTACTTCGATAGTCAGAAAGAAAGTTCTCCCTTAACCTTCACACTTACTGTGCTACATAAGTAGTGGAAGAACTGCATGAAGAACTTGCACCACTTTATTCACTTTAAGAAGGCTAGAAAGGGGTTGTTTATTTGTCAGGGAAGTAAATGGCAACAGTGGGAGGATGTTCTTTTGGCTCTATTAAGTTGCTTTGGCACTTCAAACAGATTTCCAAAGGTGGCATCTAATTCATGTGCTTGCCATTGCTCACCTTGGAATGATTTCTAGAATGAGTATAGATGGCATGCTATCTACTTTCAAGTAGATAACCAGACTCTTTGAGCAAACTGACCCAAGTTATCCCAGGCATTAGATGTCTACTAAAGATGTTCCTTCAGGCACACTATGCATAGTTAAATATCTTTGGTATTATCCTGTGCAGATCTACACAGCTTTACTTGTAGTCTTTGAGAAATGTATTTGCCCAGTGTGTGTATTCATCCTCTTGGCAGTGAACCATGAGGAGTCTTGAACTAGGCACAGAACCACCACAAAGAGGGCTGCTTTTAGAAACAGATTGCTCACAGATGTGCATGGGAACACATACACACACATGTATTTTTTTATCTGTGAACCCTCCTGCTGCTTTTGTTATCTGTGCTAAAATTCAAGGCGGTTTATAACCAAAGTAATATAGACTGGTTTTTGGTGTGTTTTTTTTTCTTCTTTCTAGCTCCCCCTTCGAAACCTGAAGTAAGTTGCAATGACAGTGGGGATACCTTTGCGTTGAAATGCACAGCAGATTTCCCAGAGCCTCTGCATTACACATGGAAGTTGAATGGCATGCCGCCAATCGTTCATCACGTCCCAGAAGTTTTCATCCCTAAGAAGGATGTTGGTGCTTCCACAAAAGCTGTGTGCTTCATTAGATTCTCTCAAACGGAAAAGAGCTCTGAAATCTCTTTGGCTCAGTGCTTTTCAGGTAAAAAAGGTAATGAACCCTCCGTGGGCTGCACGGAGTATCTGCTCCACTGTGGACCTCCATGGGCTGCAGGGGAGATACCTGCTCCACCATGGACCTCCATAGGCTGCAGAGGAGTCTTTGTTCTGGTGCCTGGAGCACCTGCTCTCCTCCTTCACCGATCTTGGTGTCTGCAGGGCTTTTTCTCTTGTACATTCTCACTCCTCTGTCTGCTGTTGCATGTCAGTTTTTACCCTTTCTTAGACAGATTACTGCAAAAGTGCTACAACTGTTGCTGATAGGCTTGACTTTGGCCAGTGGTGGGTCCATCTTGGAGCCAGCTAGCTTTGGCTGTGTGACATGGGGGCAGCTTCTGGCATCTTCTTACAGAAGCCACCCATGAAGTCTCCCTGCTACCAAAACCTTGCTTGCAAACCCAATAGAAGACGTTTGGTGAAATTTCATAGGCCAAAAAATGGGGTGGACATTCCCTTTCAAGTGGTGATGTGCCTTCACTGTACTAAGGAACTTACCATCTAACTTCACCAGAGCTGGTGTAGGGTTTTGCTAGTAACTGATTCTGGGACATTAATTTCTTGAGGTTACTTTTCAAAAACCAAATACCTATAAAGATACTCAGGGTTGTATCTGTTCTGCAGTAGTGTAGCACACAGTTGCTTTCTAACTGACCAATCCTTATTTTATTCATTTAAAGGAGACAGCCATCACAAAAGAAGCAGAGGTGGTCTTGTTGCAGCTTCTGTTATTTGCATGGCAGTTGCAGTAATAGTAGCATTTCTACACAAAAGAGGTATGTATACTACTTCCTAATGGAGCTCAACATGCTTCAAGATGACTGAACTGAGTTTCTGTAGAATGTTAGGAAGTTTCTGACTCTGGGATGTATTGTAAACACAGCAGAAGAAACCAGTGCAACGTAGGTAAGGGCAATAGGTTTGAAAGAAGTAATATACTAAACTTTGTGCATTCAGACACTGGGCTCTGTGTACTGGGAAATGTTGTAGTTTGTATTTGTGTATTTCTCCTTCAGACCAGGTGTTTCATTTACTATGTGTTTCTATTTACCAAGTATTTATGGCCTCTCCCATTCCTACCCAAATGTGCCTTCACTACCTTTTTTCAGAGCATCATAAAGCTTGCCCTCAAGATCCATTTATTGCTGGGACAGGCCTATACCAAGGCCTCTTGTTGACTCTGATCCAGCAACTTGCTGTGCTCAACTCGTATCCATGAGACAGTTGGAATAGTTACAGCATATTGCTATATCTCAGAGACTTTGGTCTGCATGATAGCTAGGTGGTGGTGGTGATAGAAGTAATTTTGTCAGCCTAATGGGTTCAGTGGCAGCGTGAAGAAGTGAAGTCAGCTTCCATCAGTAATTGTGGATCCCTCGATTCCCAAGGGACATAGTTGAAGTGCAGGTTGACCTGCTTGCAAAGAATTTCTCTGCAGTTGTGTAAGATTTTTCAGATGTAAAACTGTAGGTAAATATGTAATAAAACTTTCTCGTTGCTGATATGTCTTCAAAGCTTATGTAGATTAGGTGATACTGAGAACTGTTGCTGAACTTTGAATCCATCTAATGGTGGCAATCAACTTTTCTATGTTGGAGAGGCTTGCTTTAGTTTACCATAGCTCAAGCATGCTTTACTCTGACTCTAGGGAGATCTGTCTTTCCTGTAGATGGATGAAAATTGTTCTATATATCCCATATATACAGACTATAATCTGTAGGATGGCTTGAGCCAATCTAGCCACTTACTGAAAGTGGAGGTCTTGCTCTTTGGAACAGCTTTAATGTTCATCACACCCCTCTGAGCCAGTTAAACTAACTCAAGTAGCAGGAAAGTGACTCAGCAGAAAAATCTGGGTGGTTGCCCAAGAGACTAGTAGGTTAAATCACATCGTGAAGGGTTCTGAAGAGCACTGGGCTAACGTACTGGAGGGGTGGGATGCTGGTCAGTGATGGGATCAAAGGTAGAAGGAAGGGCAGGAGACAGAAAGGGGCTGGGGGGGGGGGGGTGAGGGAGGCTGTTGCAGGGATATCAGGGCAGGCTGAGATGTGCCTATGAAATGTGTTGCATGAAGCTGTTACTTTCTCACACTGTAAAGATTTGCTGCACTTTGAGCCTGCTGATTTTCCAGAGCTGAAGCCTTTGACAGTACTGGCTGCTCTACATAAAGCATAGCTAGTTTAAAAGTACTCGATAAATAGAACATCTGTGAACAAACAAAGTTTTGGTGGGATGTGAAATTAGGTTAGCTCTAGCAAATAAACTTGGTGAGGGAAGAAAGGAATGGATGGAAAAAGTAGTTTTGTTATTTGCAAAATGAAAGCCGTGTCTTTATCACAGTCTGCACCTTGCTCAAAGGGGGCAGCGAAGCAGGAGGTGTTGATTTCCTCTCTCTGGTGACCAGCAATCATGTACAATTGTGAGAAAACATGGATGAGTGGAAGGGTGGGAGTGAGTTAAGACTGATTAGAAGAAACCTGACTCAGTGGTGTAGATGAAGCTGCTAATGGAAGTGTCATGAAACAAGGAAACGGAACTAAAACAGGGCTGTAGAGTTGGAGAGGAGGCTGTGGTATCCAAGGCAAATCCTGTTACTTGCCAGTGGGTAATACTGAAGATCAAATGATGTAAACTGGCAAATTATTCCTGGCCTATGTGATGTGCTGCTTTGCACAGGCACACACTTGGCCAAACTGTGCTCCTATGTCACACTTAAGTTTAGCATCTGAAATTGGCTATATTATGTAATGTCAGGGCATCATATGTAACTGCTTTCTTTGGTGCTGTTTGCAAGCTCTGTGGGGACAGAACATTTTGCATGTTCTGTAGGGAGTGTGAAACCTGATGTTTGTTGCCACAGCTATAAAATGAGGAGGATGCTAATTTCATATTCAGGCCCTCTCTGCATAGACACAAACAGCAGCACACCCCCAGGCTGCCTTCTCGATCACTTTCTTCAGTCCATCAAGCTGGTATAAATCACCCATAGGTAAAGCAGTAAACCTGCTTGGGTTTTAAAGATACAAATAAAGAATACCTCAGGCCTATACAGGAACATAATTCTTTTTCTTCTTGTCTACAGAGATGAATACCATGTGTTACCATATGCTGCTCTTCTAGACTGCTGGCAGTTTATCCTAGATTGGAGTGATGCTCAGCTAGAGACTAGTGGAAGGGATGGGTAGGGCTATCAAAACAGGAGCGAAGACTGAATGATGCTGCCTTGGCACATCCAGTTGGTTCCTTTTTTACTGTTTGTCTGTGTACACCAAGACAGACACACTGATGCGAGCTTTGTGTATGCTTTATTGGTTATCAGTCTGGTTAGATGTTGATGCATGTTGCACAGTGTGAGTTAAGTTGGCAAGTAGGGCATGTAGTCTTGAACTTGCTGGGTTCTGGCTTCCTGCACTGCAACTTCCCTTTACTTCCAGTTTCTTTGCTTGTCAAATAAGAGCTGTATTTGCAGTCCTCAAAAGAGAAAACTTAAAAAGCACCTGGTATTACTGTGTGGAAGAAATAGCAGCAGCATCGCATGCATGTGTTGTGGTGCGCAGCTGGTACTAAGACTGTAGCTGAACCTTTGCATAAAAGCGGTGTCTTTAATACCCAGTTAAGTGATCTAAAGGTACATTGAGTAAGGACCCTCACACACTACCAGCTGCTTATCAGGTGGCTGGCAATAAGTGAATAAATGTTCTTAATGTGCTGCAGTTGCAGGGAAATGTTTTTAACCATACACAGATAATTTGGGCAAAATGGCTATTGGCTATCAGATACCTGTTGTAATTGGATTGCTTTGGATCATGTGAAATGTCTTAATTCATCTTACACTTTATTAGTATTTAAAGCCTGCAGTATTTGTGTATAACCAGTTCAGTTTCCGGAAGAGAAGACATAATAATTTACCTGTGTGCTTTTCTTTTGTTTCATCTCTTAAATCATAAGCAAGTAATTGCCTTGTGGAACAAACAAGAATGGAAGAGAAGCTGTAGAATTCAACATTGAAGAAGCTTTCATCGTTTCTCTTGGAGGTTTTCCAGCAAGCACTGAAGTCATCCGTAAAGCAGATGCTTTGAAGGACAGCTGAACTGTTTCCAGTGTCTGCTCTTTTCTTAGAAGGGACAGTGACACTAACACAAAATGTAAGAGTTAAGGACTTTTTTTATCATATTTAGAAACTAACAAAGACATGTTCATTTACATGAATGTAGATAAATCAAAAACTGTTTTAACTTCCTATGCAATGTTAGATCACTACTTGTTTACAGACAGAAAAAGGGCAGTTGATCCTTCAGCAAACCCAGGTGCCTTTTCTCATCTCTGGGGGTTTTTTTCTAGAACTTTTGATATTTTTTGCACTTTTAAGGTTCCTTTTTTGTCTTAGCTTCTGCTTCACAGTATTCTAAAAGAATGTCAGTCTACCCATTGCTGTACAAAGAACAAGGTTTTTAGGCTGCTTGTGACTGGAAACAAAACTTGAAAACTGAAGTCACTGAAGCTCAAAAAGAATCAAAGATTAAAAAATGCCATGTTAATACAGGCCAGGGTGCTGTTGGGTGCCTTTGCTGCCAGGGTACACTGCTGGCTCTGGATGCCAGAGAGGGACTTTTCCTCAGGGACTGTAGGAATAGGACAAAGGGTGATGGGTTTAAATTGAAACAGGAGAAGTTCAGGTTCAGTATAAGGAAGAAGTTCTTCCCTGTGAGGGTGGTGAGGTGCTGAAACAGGTTGCCCAAAGAAGTGGTAAATGTTCCACCTCTGGCAGTGTTCAAGGCCAGGTTGGACAAACCCTTGGGCAACATGGTCTACTGCGAAGTGTCCTTGCCTTATGGAAGGGGGGGTTGGAACTGGATATATATTATTATGTATTATATAATATAGAATATAGAATCATAGAATGGTTAGGTTTGGATCATCCACTTCCAACACTCTGCCATGGGCAGGGATGCTTCACGTTAGACCAGGTTGCTCCAAGCCCCATACAGCCTGGCCTTGAACACTGACAGGGGTGGACAATTGTTAAATGAGCTAAAAATACCCTGTCACATCTTTTTGTAACACATACTTACATTTCTTACACTTTAAATTTAGTAAATGATCCCCAAAACTAATCATTAACTTGAAGTGATTTTATTTATTTGTATATTTAAGTCACAACCCCTTCTTCATTGCACCTTCAATGGATTTTCCACTGCACCTTCAATGGTGCTGTCTACCTCTTTTGTAAGAAGTCTCCACACAAAGATGTCCTTTGTCACGTGTATCAGGGCAAGGGTAAACCTGTAGCTTGTTTTCCTGCTTGGACAAAGGCTTGCTTTCTGTTATTAATATGGAAAATAATGGTGGAAAAAAATGATTGTTTGGAGGAATAGGCTAAAACTGCTCCCAGAAACTACCAGTTCATCGGGTATGCATCATTCTCCCTGTGTAATTTAAAACTTAAAAGGCGTGCAGAAGTCTGACATAGGGATTGGTTTTGAAAATTCCTTGACACTTGATATCATTGACTTTGTTTCCAAATAAAAAAAGCAACAGCCTTCAAAAATAGTAAGCGGTTGGGGTTAAGTAACCACCATTGCTGGAAATCTTTAGCATAATTCATGCAATTTTTGAGCTTTGTCCGAAGTAGAAAAGCCCAGGCTAACGTAAGACCAAAAACTACAGGCTCTACACTGTCTCACTGCATGTTTTCATCCACCCACTTTGCACAGTGTCCTGGTTTCAGCTGTAACAGGTGTAGGGTTTTTTTCTCCTTCCTAGTGGGTGATACAGTGCTGGGTTTCAGCTTTAGTCTGGGCATAATGCTGATAGCAACAACTAGAACATCAGTGTGTTCAGTAATATTTACCCCTCCTCCAGTGAGGATGGTCACAAGAAGCCTGGAGGAAGCAGAGACAGGACACCTGACCCAGTGTAGCCAAAGGGCTGTTCCATACCACAGCACACTGTACCAAATACAGAAACTGGCGGAGTCCCTTTGAAGGGACAATTGATGCTTGGGTTGGGCTGGGTATCGGTCGATGGGTGCTGAGCAATTGTACTGTGCATCACCTGTGTTTACTAATTTTTTTCCTTTCCCCTTTTAGTTTCGTGTTCTCTCCCCTTGTTATTTATTAAACTGTTCTTGTCCCAACGCATGGGGTTTACATTCATCCAATTTTTTGGCCAGGATGGGGGGGAAGCGGAGGGTTTTGCTGTG